CCCCCACCTCATCCCCATAGGAAGCCACCTGGCTTTGGTGGGAACTCATCTCCTTGCCTGCACACCCGCCTCCGAAACGTGACCTACTTTATGTGTGACCTATTAAAAAAAAAACACTCATGGGAAAACAGGATCCAAAATTTCGATAACCATTTTACCCTGAATTGGGAAGGATCCCGGGACCTTCACCCCCCACCTCATCCCCATAGGAAGCCACCTGGCTTTGGTGGGAACTCATCTCCTTGCCTGCACACCCGCCTCCGAAACGTGACCTACTTTATGTGTGACCTATTAAAAAAAAAACACTCATGGGAAAACAGGATCCAAAATTTCGATAACCATTTTTCTTTGAATTATTCGATTGCATCACTGCCCAAAAGCTTGAAAGGTCAATGGCCATTTTTAGTCGAAGCGGTGGCTCCGGGGAAGTTGGGCGAGGAAGGCGAGAGGGTGTGGGGAGGTGCGGCTCGCAAAGCTTGCCTGGTGCGCCCCCTGGCGTCTCTGGGAGGAAGCTTGCGCCGGCTCCCAGTCTGGCTGGCGTTCTGTAATTTTCCTGCTTTCCGTAGGCAGATGAGTCCGTGAGTCGGAGATGGGCATTTTCCCACTAACAAGGGGCTTTGTCGACGAATGAGTGGTGTGCGTGCAGCCATGCTTTGGTTTTTTGGTGGGGCGGGTGGACCTAATTTAAAACCTCGCCGGGGTTGGTGGTGCACGTCTGTAATCCCAGCACTTGGGAGGCTGAGGCAGGAGGATCGCTGTGATTTCGGGACCAGCCTGGGCTACACGGTGAGTTCCAGGTCAGTCTCAGCTACATAGTGAGACCCTGTCTCAAAAATAAAATAAAGCCTCTAAATAAATGAATAATGTCCCACAAATCATTTGCCCCTTTCAGGATTCTCCTGAATTATAGCCTTTTCTGTGAAAACTACGCTTACGTTTTGGATTAAGATGAATGAACAAATCAGATTCAGATCATCCCTTGTCACGAACCTCCCAGGAGCCCTTCTTTCTGTGCTGCCCTTCACCTCCTCCCGGCCCTGGAGGGGTACCAGAGAAGCTGCCCTCATTCAGGGCCGAACTCGAAGTCACCTCAACAGAGAGCCACCGAGATGACAATAAGCTCAGTGGCAGCTGTAGGGGACACCAAACTTTGTACCAAGGCAGGATTCTTGACTTACTTCTAAAGTGCATCTCTGAAACCCCAACATTTTGTTTGCCTTTGGAGCCGTCTAGAAACATATACAGGGGCCACAATGGGAAAATGTCTGTGGGCGTCTGTCGAGTGAAAAAAGAGAGAACATGAAACTGTGCCTTTGCTATGCTTACGACATTGTGCAATTATATGGTGCACATGGGCAGCACCGGAAGCAGCCGTCTCTAGGGCCCAGGATAAGGTGGACGCTCGCGTTTGGCTTTCCTCAGTATTGTCCTAGGGACTTTGGTAGTCATCATCTTCCCAAAACCACACAAGTCATCGTCCTCAGTTATTCTAACAAAGTGTGGTTGAGACACTTAGAACTCCAGTCCTGAAGGGCCTCTTTCCTGAGCTCCAGACCTGCCTGCCCCTCAGCATCACCTTCTGAATGCCTGCTAGGCGGCCCCAATTCAGTATGTCCCAAATTGAGCCGAGATGACCCTTTCCTACCCTTAAAACCCAAACCAGCCGGGGATGATGACACACTCCTGTAATCCCGGCATTCAGGAGGCTGAGGCAGCAGGATCGTGAATTTGAGGCCAGCCTGGGGTGCGTGGCCAGTCATCGTGTCTCAAACACACATATGCTCGCGCGTACACAACACAGCAAAACAGACTCCTCCTGTGTGCGTCCCCGTTTCTGAAAACACGAACTCCAGCCTTCAGCCGCACAGGTTAAAGCCATGGAGTCATCCTTGACAGCTCCCTTTTGCCCACATCACGCGTGCCGCCTGCCAGCCAGTCCCTCCCCTCTGATTGCACAACACAGCAGAGTGAAATGCTTGTCACGTGTCCACGGCACGCCAGCCCAAGCCACCCTCACCTGCGCCCAGCGGACGGCGGCGGTGTGTTGAAAGGCCGGCTCGTCCTCCTCCAGCCGCTTCCTGGCGGAGTAGAGAGACCAATTCTCTAAGTAGGTCATTTCCCAGTCCTCCCTCCTCCAACCCAAATGCTTGCATTGCACTTGAGCCAAAGACAGACCTTAACAGTTTTTTGACATCTTGACAAAACACTTGGAATAAACAACCAAGCTTTCTTGGGCTCACAAGTCCAGTTCGTGGATCCCTAGCTCTGTCGCGGTGGGCCTGTGGCAGGACGGAGTTATCATGGTGGGGAATTCAACTGCTCGGCTCATGGTGGCCGAAAAGCAGACACGGGAAGGGGGCCGGGTCCCAAATCGCCTTCAAGCCGTGCCCCACGCATAACATTCCTCCACTAGGCCCCACCTCTTAAAAGTTTCACCTCCTCTGAAAAGTGCCAGAGGCTGGAGACCAAGCCTCCCACGCGTGGCGTTTGAGGGACATTTAAAGTCCGAACTGTACCAGCCACTCAGAAGGACTACAGGGTCCCGTCCTGTGGACCAGTCTGACCCCGTCCTCTCCAGCCGTGTTCCCTCGGCTGCTGTCACGATGGGCTTCTTGCTCTCCTATAACGTCCCGCCCCTGCTTCCTCCCCAGGGGCTTTGAATCTGCTAGTCCCTGTATGGTTCATGCTTTTCTTTCAGGTTTCTGGATGATCTGTTCCCTCAGATCTTGATTTGAGGTCCCCTTCTTCATGAGATCTTGCATCGCACCATTGAGAAGAAACAGACACAGACACCCCACATACTAGCTTCTCTTCTGTGCTCTGGTTTTTTCCTTAACCCTGATCCCTATCTTAGTTTTTGTCTTATTCATCTGCCCAGCTTTCTGTCTTCCTCCTCTGCTGGAGTGTAAGCTTCGTGTATTCAGACTGGGATTGTTTGCTGCTGTTTTTTAGCACCTTGAATAGCTCCCAGCATGTAGGAAGCACTCAACACAATTGTTGAATCAATGAGTGAAGGTATTAGCACTGTTTAAAGTCAAATTTCCCAGACACAAAACCTCCCCCTGCCACTACTTGCTACACATGTGATCTCTGGCAAATAATCTCTTACGGAGGTAACAGTGGCACCTACTTTACAGACTGTTATGAGAATTAAATGAGATAATCTATGCAACGTGCCTGGGCACTAAGCAAATACTCAATAAAGCTTAGCTTTTATTTTAACTAGCATCCTTTCAGTCTCACTGGATTTGGATTTTTCTCCCTATAAACAAGATTGTGTTGCATTTGCCTACATAAACTTCATGAAGTTGATTCCCTGGAGCTTCCTATTTAGCTTGTCAATTTAGAGAGTATTAACGTGATCTCAGTAGGGTGTGGTAGCACACACCTATATTCCCAGCACTAAGGGAAGCCCAGCCTGGGCAGCTCAGCAACTTTGTAAGACCCTGTCTCAAAGAAAAGCATAAAGAAAGGGGCAGGAATGTCACAGAAGGAACATGATAGAATCC